CGCACGCCTTTAATCCCAGCACTCGGGAGGCAGAGGCAGGCGGATCTCTGTGAGTTCGAGGCCAGCCTGGGCTACCAAGTGAGCTCCAGGAAAGGCGCAAAGCTACACAGAGAAACCCTGTCTCGAAAAACCAAAAAAAAAAAAAAAAAAAAAAAAAGAAACCAGCTAAGAGCATAATGTCCAAGACAGAGTGGGTACAGGATCAGGGACTCTTCTCGATTCTGCATGTCATATGGGTGACAGCAGCTGAGAGCTTTATTCTGGAAGGGACAATAGAGGTTTGTGGGAGGAAGGGGCATTGGTTACATTGGAGATGCATTAATTATTCATCTCATTACTGTGAAGAGATGCCTGACAAGAAACCTAAGAGAGGAAGTGTTTATTATGACTCACAAGCCACGGGGATCGTTCCATCAGGACGGGGAAGATGTGGCTTCAGGCAGGGAAGCTACAGTGGCAGGAGCAGAGAGTCAGCAGATGCAGAGTTAACAGGAAGTGGGGCTGGGTTATGGAGCCTGAAGACCCTCCCTGGTGACCCACTTCCTCCAGCAAGGCTCCACCTCCTAAAGCCTATGGGGACCATTTCACATTGAAACCACAGTAAGATAGGACCATGTAGGAAGCTGTTGGGAGCCAGTGAGTAAGAGGCGGGGGCATCATGAGGGACGTTCTTGTGAGGCATGGCAACCCCTGGTGCTTCTGCTTGAGACATCCCTTACAATAGTGAGCAGAGAGCAGAGGCAGATAACAATGGGGGCAAGGCAGGGGTAGTGGGCACCACCTGCAGGATGGAGGGGCTCTTCATGGGCATCCACGCAGAATTATCCACTCAGAGCTGTAGAATCTAACAGTTTAGGGGTGACAATCAACCTTCATTGTCAACCTGACTGGTTTTAAACACACTTCTGAGCATTGTCTGTGGGAATGTTTCCAGGAAGCGTTAACTGAGGAGGCATGTATTAGTTACTTCTCTGTTGCTGTGAGAAACACGCTGTGACCAAAAGCATAAGCCACTGATAGAAGAAAGAGTTTATTTTGGCCTACAAGGTTCCAGAGGGATACGAGGCCATCGTGGTGGTTGGGGAGGCATGACAGTGAGCTGAGAGCTTTTCAAATACAAGCATGAAGTAGATAGAGAGAAAACGGAAAGCAAGGACTGGCTGTGGGATCTTAAGTCCCATCCCCAGTGATGTACCTCCAACAAAGCCGCACCGCCAGCTGAGAGGCAAGCATTCAAATACCGCAGCCTATAGGGGACATTTCTCATTGGCACCACCACGCAGGAAGAGCCACTCTGAAGTGGACGCCACCATCCCACAGGTTGGGGACCACCCCAGAGTGAATGAAAAGGAAGAACGGAAGCTGAGCACCAGCATTTCTCTGTGTGTCCTGCTTCCGGATGCAGTGTGTCCAGCTGCCTGTCTCGGCTGCTACCACCATGCTTTCCCCAGCATGACGGTCTATATCCCGAATTAAACCACAAGCCGCATTAAACCTTCCCCACCTTAGGCAGATCCTTGTCAGGTACTTATCTCATAGTGTGAGTCCCTGGGGCTCCTAGCCACATCTTTCATTTTGTTGATATCTACAAGGAAGTCTAAGGACAGGAAGGGACCTGCCCAAGGCCACTCTGCTTTTTCAGAAGCTGAGCCAGGTTCAGAGGTAAAAGAGTCCTATCCTGTCCAGTGGTGCCCAGCTGCCCCCAGAATTCACCCCAGAAAGCTAACTTGCCTGGTCTTCCCACTTAGCCTGGAAGCAGGGGCTGCCAGGGAAAGCCTGCTGAACAGTAAATAAAGAAACAAGGGAGAGAGAAGAAGGCTCAGTAACCATAAATCTCTTTAGAATTTTAAAAGGAGCTGGGGAATATTGACACGAATTAAATCCAATAAAACATTCATTTAATTAAACTTTAAATGATCCAAATATTTGCTGTTTGGTTAATATTTGTGTAGCTGACAGGAGCGGAATTACGATGGTTCTGTGGGTACTCACGCATTCTAATTTTGCATGAGTTTTTCCTGCACCAAGTGTATGTCTTCATACATACAAATGATGGGGAACTCAGCCGTGGAAGGTGCATCGCCCAGCCGCCCCAGCCACGCAGGCCAGGAGGGCGGCAGAAGGCTCCCGCTGCCCTGACCCCACGATGCTTTGTTTGTATTGGCCCTATGTTCCAGGCTGTAGCAGACCTTTTGTGAAAACTGTGACCTTGGGAGTACCATGGAGGAGGGGATCCTACAGTTCCTCTTGGTACCCTATCCTAGATGAAAGCCCGCACTTGCAGCCCAGAACTCTAATCCGTCAGACGGCCTGTCTCTCAGCCTCTACTCTGCACTGCCCCGCCCCTTTCAGATTCCCAGGCCCCTCCTATCTTGGAAGGCAGTGGTTCCCAGGCCTCACAGAAGCCTTGAGGATGCCTACTGGACTCACAAGAGTCTGCAGCAGCCCAAGCAGAGGGGAGGCACTGTGTGCTAATTACCTAGGGATGTGATACAGGTAGCTGGGGAAATCACAGCAGAGAACTGGAGCCCCGGGGGAAGCCCTGTCTCCTGCAAGGGCCACTCTATGTTGATTGCTTAGCCTGTCTTTCTGGTCTTGATGGAAGTCAGATGCAGAGAGTGTGATGATCCCTTTTGTACCTAGTCTCACTTCTTCTCCGGGGACACTGAGAAAGAGGCAACTAAACACTCCCTCCATTGGTAAGGATGTCCATGCTGATGATTCCACAGTCCATAGGCATAAATGTTCTGGGTATGAACAGAACTGCTCTATGCATCTTCATCCCAGTCGCCCTCCAGGCTGGCTTCCAGGGAAGCCGCACACATAGCCTCGCTCTGCTGCCTAGTTCCAACCAGCAGGACCTCCAGGCTACTCGGGTCAGCCCTGCTACCCACCCAGGCAGAGCCTCCCACAGCCTGTCCCCACCACCAGCACCCCTTCAGGCTCTGGTCTGACTCACAGGATGTGGGGAGCAGACTGCTGGGGGGCGGGGCGTCCAGCATCTTTCAGACCCCCTCAGGATCCCTCCCTCTGCTTACCTGGGAGGCTCCCTTCTTATTCCCATAGTCCCTAGGGCAAGAGGGGTATTCCACTCATCTTGCTTCCAGAGCACAGTGTTCATCCAGTGAGGAAGAGTTCCTTTCTCCAATTGAGAGCCCTGGATTCTGAGCCCTAAGGGCCCAGAGTTCAGTGGAAGCTAAACAAAATCTCTCAATCAATCTCTCTCTCTCTCTCTCTCTCTCTCTCTCTCTCTCTCTCTCTCTC